CACCGCTACACAGTGATGAGTGTCTTTGTAGTAGGAAGGAACAAATTAAGTCGTTAATTAAACCCCTTAACGACATTATTTGTCACTTTTTGACTTTTAGACCTAAGGAACGACCCCTGGGGGATTTGAACTTGTTTTAACCATTCTTTAGGCTAAATGTCACAACCAGAGTCTAGATCCCAGACGAGACCGGGATCGTTGACCTCTCAGAGGTTGCAGACAAGCCTACATACATCATCGTTACTGCTACTAGGTTAATTCTAGCGGAACAATTTAATTTTTTGCTACTTAACATTCATATAAGACATTCTACTTAAACTCATAAACATTCACAATAAACCATCTAATATTAAGATCATCAAATGAAAGAAATAGTTTCTTACTGCATTAAGTGTATACTTTCCAAAATGGCACCAATACAATGTCTGAAATAAGATGATAAAGAAACCCTAGTGGAACATACTCCACTAAAGCAAAACTATATCGATGCTAGAATATAATGGACCAGCGTCGTCGAAAGCGTGAGGGCCTACCAAATCCGGATGAATGCTCCACGTCCGGATAGCTTCAACGTCGACTTGTAAGCTCTAACGTCCACCTGTGCCTGCACCTAAAAATATTAAGTTGTATGGTATTAGTACACACTTGTACTAACTATGGGTATATGCAAGCACACACCAAGGACATGCATGATTAAGAAGATATCTTTCCTATCGATATGAATTATGGAAGTCAAGTTAGTGGACTTGCAAATTTAGGATTAAGAAAGTCATGCCATGAGAGTAACATGCATCATCATACTTATCATTTCCCAAACACCACATAACATATTTCACATATCATATCTTATAGGTCATATCATTCTTTCATATGTCATGAGACCTTGGAATCATGGACTTGACATTATGACTTTCCAAAATGAGGGCTCAACATATAGGACCTCAACTAGGGAGCCTTTTTTAGCAAACACAGAATCTGCTTCATTCATTCATGCGTACTTTATATTCATTCTTTCATATACTAGTTCAACCACTAGTCATACCTAGGTTGTAGTTTAAGACACTCATCAGGTTCACTGTGCAATGACCAAGAATAACCTAGTGCATTACTTAAGTCAAGCTCACCTCTTGATTATCCTATCCTAACACATTTGGTATAGTTCATTTCATTATGTGTGTCCATTGAGGCTAGCCTTATTTTTTCTTAGGAAACATTAACCTTAACCGACATAGATTATGTGAGCATCATGAAATCTAGTGTCTGCCCCACACCAAAAAGAGGTGGAATCACGGCCAAAGTGACCCAAACATGCTAGCGTATATATGGAGTCGAACCCTGCTAGATCCATCTGTTGGAAGTATAGATTCAAAGACTAGGAGATATAAGGACACCCATACCCAGCATGCCGGATAGTCTCATCTCATGAGTGTTACATGAACCTCCTCCATTTCCTAAGAAGGTCATCACCGCTCATAGCTAGCCTATCGGTGCTCACTATAAAGGTCTATTACATTCAACTCATACATTATGGAAGTTGGCTTCTAGCATGAGGAAATTATAGCTAATTAGATGATTTCTCATCTCAACATTAATATTAAGTATGCCTTTACTTAAATACTTTCATTAGAGTGTTCATAGAGACTGGTCTCTTCAATAACTTTACACTCTCATAGATAAGTACGTTTTGGTAACATTTACTTAGTCTCATTTGAGATTTCTCTCATCTTTCACATTAGCCTCTTATGAAATTGTCACCTCATTCATTAACTTTAACACATTTGCTTTTCATAATTACTCACCCTTTTACGTTAATGTTCATTTCATCACATACCAATGTATTTGGCCATTTAGTGTGTTTCAAACTCTTACATACCCCTTCTAGGGTTACATCATTTCATCACATACATCTTAGGTTCAGTGACATTTTAAATGTATGCTAGACTTATGAGTCAACACATACAAGCCATGAGGCTTCATTCATAGTTTGTCTAAGTGATTCGTGTTTACCCAAGGTTATGTGGTACATGACTTATGCATCTTGTAGATATGCCAAGATATTGATTTTGATATTTATAGACCATTCACTAAATATTTGTTTACGTATGACTTATGTGTCAATAGGGAATAGGGCAAGGGAACCCGATTTCGAATCCCTTGAACAACACTGAATCTTATTTTAAACTTGATAATTGCATATTTCATTTTGGAAGACTCTAGGTTGATTCCCATCAACCCCATATTATTTCTTTCTTGTTCTCTTCTCCTTTTTCGTTTTAAGGAAAGGGGGTTGTGGTTTTAATCCCCCACACGCTCATTATTTGTCTTTTAATTTATATCTTAACTTTCTCATCTATCCAAGAGGTTGTGGGTTCACTCCCCACTCTCCACATTTATTTTCTCCTTTATTTTTCTCCTAACTCTCTCATCCATTCAAGATGTTGTCGGTTCAATCCCCACTCTCCATATTTTATTTTCTCCTTTATTTTTCTCCTAACTCTCTCATCCATTCAAGAGGTTGTGGGTTCAATCCCCACTCTCTATATTTTATTTTCTCCTTTACTTTTCTCCAAACTCTATCATCCATTCAAGAGGTTGTGGGTTCAATCTCCACTCTCCAAATTTTATTTTCTACTATATTTTTGTCCTAACTCTTTCATCCATTCAAGAGGTTGTGGGTTCAATCCCCACTCTTCAAATTTTATTTTCTCCTTTATTTTTCTCCTAACTCTCTCATCCATTCAACAGGTTGTGGTTTCAATACCCACTCACCACATCTATTTTTCCTTTCATTTTAAACATGAAATTATTATATAATTTTCATTTGGTGAGATCTTGGGTTCAATCCCTAATGACTTCACGTTTTACATAAAAATTTAGAACATAGCTCCAACTCTAATATATAGGCCGAGACCAACATTTCCAGCAAGTTGGAAATTTGGTCCTCTTTCAATTTCGTTTTTCTCTCATTTTTTTATATTGATTTTTGTAGTATTTTGAGTGACATTTAGTCAGACACCTTAACCTTATATGAACATCACATTTAAAACATTTTTATACATGCGAAACACTGCATTTTAACATACAAATTTCAGACAGCAAACATAGTAAATTTTCAGCACACACATGCTCAAAGCAGTAAACTTAATATACTTTTCCGAAATATATTTATCATCCCGTACATGATTTCCGAATACACATTCAACACATAATCATAACCAGACCTAAAATTATCTACGAGAAGATATACCAACGCATGCTTTGAATCTTTCAAAGGATCTAATGACAGGGGCATGCAACGGAGACAACCTTAGTTTTTCAATCGCGATTAAACTGAACCTTAAGGGTGTCTTGGAAAAGGGACCAAGAAAGAATAAAACCCATACATTAATGTCGTTCAACACTTTTTTCAATGCTATCAATTCCCACGACACCACTGCCTCATCACCAAAATCCCAAACACAATCCATCGAGAAAAATGTTGTTGAATTTCATTTTTAGCATAGCTTTTCGTTTGAGTTTTTCTGTGTAAGTTCTTCAAGAGTGAAGAACTATTTTTTTAGTTATTTACTGATAAAAAACATGAGAATGAGAGTGAGAGACATCAGAATGATAGGATTAGGATTAGGAGAGTTAGGTAGAGTCTTAGTCAATTTAGGACTCCTAAATATTTATTAATTTTATTATTATTAATTTTTATTAAAAATCTGATTTTTACCTTAATTAAATCAGATTTTTAAATATTAATTAATTCACTTAATAAAATTAAGTCAATATAATCCTTGCTTCCACCAAGGCTCGAACCCGGGTGGAGCTAGATTTTGTTTAAAGGGTCAAATTCGGCAACCCTTACCCAAATTGTCCCTCCATCATATTAAAAAATTAATTAATTAAATATATAGGGTAATAACAATACTATTTTTATCCTGGAAAAGACCATTATACCCCTAGACCCTCGAAACATAAGATTACCCCTTTTTAAGTTTTGTTAAGACTCATTTGGGTAAATCTTCATATTCGGGTGCCCTACATGGCTAGGACCCGCCTTTCCTAGCTCAACTAACTCACAAAGTTAGTTGGCTTGGATGTTTCATAGGTTCAGATGTCTGGTTCTCGCGCATCAATCCGTGTGAACCCGGTCTAATCTAGGCATTCTAGATACATTAGGCATTACTTAGCATAGTCATTTTAGGGTTGTTACATTATCCCCCCTTATGAACATTCTTCCCCGAATGACACTACACATCATTTCAAAATAAAGAGGGTTATATTTTGACATACTTGAGACTTCTGTCTCACACTTACTCTTGATAATGCATATTACTCAAACTTATCTGAAGTTTCATATTTGAGATTGAGGAACTTCCTTCTGAATCTCACTTAACTTGATGCACCTCACAACTCATGCAACAAAAAAAATCATTTCCGCGCTATACAAAAACAGCAACATGACATGCAAACATGAATTCATTTTAACTCACATAGTGCAATTATTACACATATGACTTTTGGACTTACAGCACCAAGTTTACTATTGCACTAAAACTTAGAGTTTCTTAAACAAAATCAGCCTTAGGAGGAGTATATCTAACCCCTTAGATAACATCTTGTTGGCCTTAAGATTTGAAATTATATGGCTTTGTTGGATTGATGCACGCCCTGCCCATTTATACCCTATCTCATTTGGCAACTGAAACCTCACTTCCCTTGTTTGATAGTCTATGGTAGCATAATACTTATGGAGAAAATCCATACCTAAGATATTCAATGTTTTTTGTTGGTGAATATTTGATTGACATATTAGTAGGTTGGTGCACATCCTTGAAACCTACTAGCAACTTCGCATTATTAGACTAAGGAACTCCTTCCTAAATTAGTCTCATCCAAGCATACAACATAAAAAAAAACAAATGAGTCACATAAGTCAACAACCAACATGATGACTCCAACATATTAACTTCATACTAGTGCATAAAACCATACACATGAAAAACTAATTTAGGCTACACACCCGAGGAATCACCGGAGGTGTCTTCCCCTACCCCCCTAGAATTGAGAGCGTAGAATCTTTGCCTCCTCGGAGCCTCTTCACTTGAAACATTCAGTTGAAATTTCTCCTTCCCTTTTTCTTGACCTCTCATATACGGACAATCCTTCATCATGTGACCCGTTTTGCGACAACTGTAACAAGCGTTAGAGCCCCTCATACACCCTCCTCCATAAAGTTTTCCACACTTTCTACAAGGTGGTCTCTCCTGAGGTGTATCTACTTCACTAATTCTCTTAACTCTGGGCTCGGAATCCCTATCATAATGACCCTTGGATGAACTTGACTCCCCTTGGTGGGAGATTCCCTTTTTAAATCTAGTCTTATCCCTAATTTCAATACTATTCTTACTTGAAAAATTGTTCTTATTTTGCCTTAACCTGTTCCCTGCCCTAGTATGCTTCCTTCTCCTGTTTTCCTCCACTTGTTGGACATGGACCATAAGCCTAGAAAGGCCCATGCTGGCATGCAGTATATCTACCCTACACTCCTTCTCGTGATTCTCAGCAATCATAGATCCAGTGTAAATGGGAGGATTCATCCTCTTGAAATCCCTTAACCTGCTATCCACGGTTCTTGAAGGTTGTTCCTCGCTAGAAACAACTTGTTGCTCCGCCTTGACTGTCATAGCCTAAGCTTGTAAAGTGATGGCTTGGTCCATCTCTACCAAGGTTGTCCTCACTTCTCCATCTGTCAACCCAGTTGGGTTAAAATGCATCTCCATTCCAGCAGCTAGATCCTGGGGAGGAACTTGATTTACCCCAGCAGCTGCTCCTCCAATCTTTCCGCTTGCATTTCTCTTAGTGTTCATCTTTCTGAATCTCAAGAGTTGATGTTAGATATGCTCTTAACAGCAAGAAATCAGACATTTGAGAAGGCACAATAAGATCAGAAGAAGGGAATTTTCCTACGCATCATGCAGTCTCTAAATCAGGATAGTGGTACACTTCAGTACCATGACTTAGAAACTCCTTGATATGGTTGATGTGAACTATTTATCCTCAAAATTTAATTTAAGGCTTTAATACCAACTTTTTCACGACATGAGTCTAGACCCCAGACGAGATCGGTGTTGTTGATCTCTTAGAGCTTGCAAACAAGCCTACATACGTCATCGTTAATTCATCTATTTTAATTTTAGCATAAAAATTGTAGTTTTTATTACTTTAAATTCATATAAGACATTCTACTTCAAATCATAAACGTTCACAACTATTCATCTAACATTAAGATCATCAAATAAAATAAATAGTTACATACTGCATTAAGTGTATACTTCCAAAAAATGGCACCAATACAATGTCTGAAATAAGATGAGAAAGAAATGCTAGTGGAGCATACTCCACTAACTCAATCCTATATCTAAGATAGAATATAATGGGTAAGCGTCCTCGAAATCCTGATGGCCTACCGAATCTGGATGAATGCACCACGTCTGGATAGCTTCAGCGTCGACCTGCAAGCTCTAACGTCCACCTGTGCCTACACCTAAAGTGTAGAGTTGTATTGGATTGGTACACATTTGTACTAAGTATGGGTATATGCAAGAACACACCAAGTACATGCATGATTAAGAAGAGATCTTTCCTATCGATATGAATTATCGAAAGTCAAGTCAGTGGACTTGCCAATTTCGGATTAGGAATGTCATGCCATGAGAGTGACAAGCACCATCATACTTATCATTTTGCAAACAGCATATAGCATATTGCACATACCATATAACATAATAATATTCTTTCATATGCCATGATACCTTGGAATCATGGACTTGACATTAGGACTTCCCAAAATTAGGGCTCAACATATGGATCCTTCTTTAGCAAACACAGAGTCTGGTTCATTCATTCATATGTACTTCATTTTCATTATTTCATATACTAGTGCAATCACTATTAATACCTAGGATGAAGTTTAAGACTCTCATCGTGTTCGTTGTGCAATGACCAAGAATAACCTAGTGTGATTACTTAAGTATAGCTCTTGATTATCCTATCCTAACGCCTTTGGTATCATTCATTTCATTATGTGTATTCTTTGAGGTTGTCCTCATTCTTTATTTGGAAACTTTTACCTTAACCGACATAGATCATGTGAGTATCATGAAATCCAATGTCTTCCCCACACCGAAAAGAGGTGGAATTACCGGCCAAAGTGGCCTGACCATGCTAGCGTATATATGGAGTAGAACCCTACTATATCTCTATATTGGCAGTATAGGTTCAAAGACTAGGAGATATAAGGAGACCCATACCCTGCATGCCTTACAGTCTCATCTCATGAGTGTTACGTGAACCTTCACCCTTCCCGAAGGAAGGCATCACCGCTCATATCTTGCCTATTTATCCTCAGTATAAAGTTCTATTACATTGAACTTATACATCATGGAAGATGGCTTCTAGCATGAGGACATCATAGCTCATTAGATGATTTCTCATCTCATCATTAGTATTAAGTATGCCTTAACTTCAATACTTTCATTAGAGTGTTCATAGAGACTGGTCTCTTCATTAACTTTACATTCTCATAGGTGAGTACGTTTTGGTAACATTTACATAGGCTCATTTGAGATTGCTATCATCTTTCACATTAGCCTCTTATCATATTATCACTTCATTCATTAACTTTAGCACATTTGTTTTTCATAATTACTCATCCCTTTACGTGAATGTTCATTTCACCATATGCCAACACACTTGGTCATTTAATGTGTTTCACACTTTTACATAAACCTTCTAAGATCAAATCATTTCATCACATACATCTTAGGTTCACTTACGTTTTAAACGTATGCTAGACTTATGAGTCCACACATACAAGCCATGAGGCTTCATTCATAGTTTTTCTAAGTGATTCATGTTTACCCAAGATTATGTGGTACAAGACTTATAGATCTTGTAGATATGCCAATATATTGATTTTGATCCTCAGAGGATGCATTCATTAAATATTTATTTACGTATGACTTATCTGTCAATACGGAATTGGGCAAGGGAACCCTATTTTGAATCTCTTGAAAAACACTTAATCTTATTTTAAACTTGATAATTGAACTTTTCAGATTTGGGAGACCTAGTTCGATCCCCATCAACCCATGATATTTCTTTCTTGTTCTCCTCTCCTTTTACGTTTTAAGGCAAGGAGGTTGTGGGTTCAATTAACCACAAGCTTAATATTTTTCTTTTAGTGTATCTCTTAACTTTCTCACCTATCCAAGAGGTTGTGGGTTTAATCCCCACTCTCCACATTTATTTTCTCCTTTCTTTTTCTCCTAACTCTCTAATTCATTCAAGAGGTTGTGGGCTCAATCCCCACTCTCCACATTTTATTTTCTCCTTTATTTTTCTCCTAACTTTCTCATCCATTCAAAAGGTTGTAGCTTCAATCCCCACTCTACACATCTTATTTTCTCCTTTATTTTTCTCCTAACTCTCTTATCCATTCAAGAGGTTGTGGGTTTAAACCCCACTCTCCACATTTTATTTTC